ATTGGAGATGGGTGCTTAGAGGAGGTGTTCAAAGAAGAAAGAGAGTGAGAGATGCTCAAGAGAGCACCTGATGCTAGCATTCTTTTATTTTTTGTAAAATAAGCTTTTTTTAATAGTACACTCTCTTTTTAATGTTTTTTTTCTTTTCATTTTTGTGTCTCTTTTTTTCCCCGGAAAAAATCTTTACCATTTTTTTTTATACAAACCCATTTTCCTAAGTTTTTTTCCTTTTCTTTTTCTTAACTTGTAGTGATACCATAAAAAATTGTTAGCCTTGGTTTGCCATAAATCTGTTTGAAATAGTCTTTCATTTGATTGAGTATGATGTGCACAAAATAAATGAATAAATAAATAAATAAATAAATACTCCATAAAAAAATATGACACCCTATTTTATTTTTTGTAATACCACCGTGCCTTTAATTTTTTAATCAAAATTTTTTAACAATAAAAAAAGTCATTGATAATATTTTTAATTATTTACACTATTTTTTTCTTAAAAATCTTTTAATTAATAATTAATTACTCCATATTTAACACTTGTATATATAATACAAAAATCCATAATTAATAATATAAAAATGGCATTTATATGTGAATAGGATCCACCCAAGGCATCTCAATGAGATGTCACCATTAAAAGGTTTGCATGTTTAAAGAGATGCTCCAATGCTATCTTTAAAATAAAGCCCATATTTGGGCATCTAATGAGAAGTGCTACCACTGTGGATGCTCTTAGATCTAGGAGAAGCAACACGCTAATTTCCCTTTTTGTATATACATATCAAATAATGTAACCGAGTAAAACACACTTTTCGGGCTAACATGCTCCGAATTAAGATTTGTTTGCGTCGTTAGATTCGATTAGTCGATCCTTACCCAACGATATAACTTTTATAATAAATCAACAAGAATTTACAAGTTCCACCTAGTCCGTCTTGATTCTTTCGATTAATTAACACTGATCAGTCTTTTAATTTAAATATTTACAAATACGGTCTGATTAGTCTCGTTTTATTGAGACGATTAGAATCTCTAAAGTATCTTTTAATCCTTTAAACGAATAGATTATCGTAAATAGATGATTCTTATTTATTTAATTATTGATTAACTTCTAGGCCGATTTCTAGGACGTTACATCGTAGGCGTTGATTAACTCTCATACGATGTCAAAAATATTTCATCTTTTAAAATAATTTTATGAGTAATTCCATAAAAGATCTCCAGTTATAGGTCATTTTACATATTTAGTCTCTACATATCAAATATTACTAATTTAATCCCCGATTATTATATTCATTTCCACGAATGGTCTTTTGTTAACATTTTGGTTAAGAACGTGGATAAAATTGTAAATTCACACTCCTTTCTCTCCTCCATTAAGCTTCCTCCCTCCCCTCGCACTCCTTTCCAAACTCGTCCCTGAGTTTGAAGCTTTGAACTTAAAACCAAAGTTATCACTCTTCTCTCAATTGTTTGTCTAATATAACTAGTGGAACCCAAATTCGAAACCAGTAACCTTCATGTAGGTTGTGTCCTATTTGCCTCATATAATCTTTAAATGCATCAGATCGAATCAGACCAAAACAGATATAATTAAATCAAATCAAATTCAAATCCAATGTGATCACATCAAAATTATTCAAAGAAAATCTTTTCAGTTGTATAGGTTGTGTCGTATTTGCCTGATCTAATCTTTAAACGCATTAAATCGAACCTAATTAGATAGAATTAGACCAAAACAGATCTAATCGGATCGAATCGAATTCAAATCCAATAAGATCATATCATATCTTCAAAAAGATCTATTTACTTGTATACGTTGTGTCCTATTTCCTTGATCTAATCTTTAAATGCATCGGATCGTACCTAATTAGATCAAATCGGACATAAATAGATCTAATCGGATCAAATCAAAATCAAAACCAATAAGATCAGATCAAATCTTTAAAAAGATCTATTTACTTCTCTACGTTGTAAATAAGATCACATCAAACTTTCACAGGAAACCTGTTTTCTTGTATAGGTTGTGTCCTAATTGTCTGATATAATCTTTAAATGCATCAGATCGGACCTAATCAGATCAAATCGGAAAAAAATATATCTAATTGGATCAAATCAAATTCATGTCCAATAAGACTAGATCAAATCTTCAAAAAGATCTATTTACTTCTCCACGTTGTGCCCTATCTGTCGAATCTAATCTTTAAATGCATTAGATCGGACCTAATGAGATCAAATCAAAGATATGGGTATCTTGTGGAATTGGATCCATGTGAGTAAGAAATTCAAATAACAAAAAAAATGTGTAACTAGGTATTTTCACTATTTATTTTTTGGAAACCCATCCTGTACTATTATGAAAATGGTTCGAATTGATTCGGGATATAATTTGTTAGAACCATTTGAAAACTCACTTTTCGGTTCGGTACATTATCGTTCTAGTTCGAAACAATATCGAACCGGTATTTTTGTGTACCCCTAATTGAAAGTGGTACATAAGAGTGAGAAAATTTATGGAGCAAAAAACTTTTTTGTTTCAAAAATGCGCATTGCTAGGGGTACACCAAAGGTGTACCCCATTTGTCCCCCACCCCTTTTTCCACCACTCATTTTTATTTTATTTTTATTTATTTAATTTTTTTTAGTCTCTTGCCCATTTTTGTGGTAATGGAGGGGTGAGAGACAAATAGGGTACACCTTTGATGTACCCCTAACATTTTTCCTCAAAAATATGATTGCTGTTCTAAAAATTTTCAAGTTCATCTCAAATTTTAGAATCCCTCTCTATTTTTCAGTGCCCGCCCAATATGTGCCCCAATTTCGCAATTAGGTCTCCCATTCAGAATATCTCATTCTCCCATAGTTTTCGTCATCATCTTCAAAATCTATCACCACCAGCTCTTGTCCGATAGAGAACATCGTCCATCAATCTCAGATGGCTCTCTCTCTGTCGATTACAAATCTGAGATTGGAGAGAGGAATGACGCAGAGATGAGCGAAGCTCTTCCTCTTGGTTAAGCACGAAGCAGACGTTGAAGATGAGAACTGAAACTGCGAGAAGCACATATAGAGTCGGATTGACAACGATTTCAAGTAGAGAGGACCCGCGAAATGGAGTAGAGAACCATGGAATTAAGGATAAACATCTCAATTTAGGTTAAATCTCTTATTTTTAGCCTGTTTGTTTGTTGAATTTGAACTAATTTTTTCTATCTGGTATTTTCAAATTTAGAATATAACTTTGAACTAATTTATAGTTCAAATTTGGAACATGACTATCTGGAGTCTGGTATTTCCTTTGAACTAATTTTTTATGTTCATGTAAGCATCAAATCTACTAGAAAGATTTTGTTTTTGATTGGGTTAAACCTTAAGTAGTTTTTAAATCTGAGTTCTTCATTCGTGAATGTATATCTCGAATCTATTTCTAAGTGACCTTGTTTAACCAAATTGATTTTTATCAATACTCAACTTAATCTATACTTCAGGATTCTGTTTTATAAAAAGGTTTTATAATCATTTTTTGCCTTTAAAGATGTTCATAAATGGGAGAGTATTATTGTTATTGTGATGAATTTTTTTACAGGGCTAATTATTGATGAAGGTGATTATGATTTTACTGGAATGGCCTTTGTATGAATACTGGCATATGCTCCCCAGTGAACGTCCAACTTTGGAAAAAGGTTATCTAAACTCTTTGGATACAGGCATTTGTTGGTGAGCTATATGTTCTAGGTTTGGTGCAATTTACTCAATTGAATTTACTTTGACTTGAATTATGTATCACAAATATTAGAAGTTGTTAAAAACATTTAACAAAGTTCAAATCTTTCTGAGGGTCTATTTTATTCTTTTATTTTTAACTTCACTGAGTTTTTCTTTTAAAGTAAACTCTTTCTATGTGATTATTTGGGTTTATCAGTTGTTGTAGAAATGTATGCCCTGGTTGTAGATTTTTTTACTTCACTAATTTTATTTTACTTCACACACTTAATTGGATTCATTAGTGGTTGATATGCCCTGCTAGGTTATGTAGTAATGGATAATGTTAATTATTATAGCTTAAAATTTCTACAATGCTGATTTGCAAATTTTTCTACTTGATTCTGCAGTCTTGATAAAGGTGTTGAGCTTGAATGTTAATGGGTTGAGATTGATGATATTTGCACTTTCACCTTTTGGTGAGTTGCAATTCACTCTTCTTTTAGAAGAGCCTCATTGCTTAGTCTAATTTGTGTTATGAACTGAGTAGTTTCTGCTTGGATTTTTCTTTAGGCATCCTTTCTAAACAATGTGGGTATGATGAAAAGTGGGAAAATGCCCAAACAAGCTACATAAGCTAAGCATTTGTAAGATGTGGCTGTCTAATTGTTTTGTGTTTTACCTTACGCTTAACCTGTTATATGATTTCTTTACATATAAGGGTTTTTATATTGCACTTCCTCTCTCCTACTTTCGTGCCTACCATTCGTTTAGGTGTATAAATGGTGAACTTGTATCGATCTTAGAGTGTGAAGATCTTGGAAGTTTCAGCAATCATGTCTCTCTTGATAGTACTATGTATCTTAATCTTCCTTGTTTCAAAATCTCTAAAATTCATTTACTTATTTTTTCCTGAACTTTGAAGGCTGAAATTGATTATAGGATTCTCAAATGTTGTTGCAGGTCCTTCTATTAGGCCAAATCATATTATTTTGATGGAAAGAGGAAGGAAGTTTATACTTTGTACTCTTGAATTCATTCTTTAGCCATTTCTGCACTAAAGAAACTTCAAAGTGCACAAAAATCTTGTCAGGACAAGATAAAAGACGCATACGGTCATGTAGAGATTGGTGAAGTTCAAGTAGACTTGGCGGAGGTGGTTGAATCATGCATGTAGCAGATTTTGATCATATTGCTACTATATTCAAGTTAAATATATGAAGTCTATATTGTAAAAGTGTAACAACTTTGAATTAAATTTACATTGTAGTCTACATTGTAAAATATGAATACTTGTGTTATACTCCTTATTTGAGAGTTTTAATAATGATGTGAAGAATTATATTTTTCTTATAGGAAAAAGAGAGCATAAAGAGTCCTAATAAAAAAAAAGTGACACATAATAGATTATATGTAGACACATTTTAAGTGTCTTCTTTTTTATTCAAGGACACAATAGGAATATTTTGTGTGAGTCCTAGTATGGAAAAGAGGACACAATTTAAGTGTCATTGTTCAAGACTTATTATGGCACCTTGATAGAAGATACATGTTTAAAGAGTCCTTGTATATGATAGATGACACTTTTTTAGTGTCCTTGTATCCTTTTTTTCTTGTAGTGTCGTTTCTTTGAACTTTAAAAAAGTTTGAGACTTAATAGCTAAACTACTGCTTAAAAAGAGTATTTTTAACGTATTATAAACAACTCTAGCAAAACAATCATATGACATGGACAATTAGTAATAGATTACCACTTCACATAATTTTAAAAACAGTTCTACGCTTACTATCCACACTACTCTTTAAAAGAGTTTTCTTAACTTATTCTAGACAACTATGAAAAAAAACCTGTGTGACACAGACTACTAGTAATACATTACCGTTTCTCATAACTTTAAAAATAGTTCTAGGCTTTATAGCCTGACTATTGGTTAAAATTAGTATTCTTAATTTTTTAAAGACAACTGTGGCAACAAAAACCATATTTTGATATGACACAGACAACTACTAATAGATTATCGTTTCTATGAACTTTAAAAACAGATGTTGGCTAAGTATCTAGACAATTGTTAAAAAAGAGTATTGTATCCTTATTATAAACAACCGTGCCAAAAATACTATATGACATAGACAACTAGCAATAGATTATTGTTTCTCATAACTTTAAAAACAGTTCTAGACTAAATAACTAGACTACTTTTTAAAAAGAGTATTCTTAACTTATTATTGACAACTGTGATAAAAAGACTGTATTTTAATATGACACAGACAACTAATAATAGAATACCGTTTCTCGAAACTTTAAGAATAGTTTTAAGCATAATAGCTAGACTACTGCTTTTGTAGCCAACAACAACAAACAACAGTCTGATTTTTTTAAACTACTGTTTTTCCATAAACAGTAGTTAATCAATAGTCGTCTGACACTGTTTTTGGCGTAGTGACTTGATATCATTTCCGAATTAACAGTTGACATCTATAAAGGTTTAATACAGTCAAATTCAATACTAAAATTTTCTTTTTTTTATTACCTTCATGGAGTAGAGGGATGCGAGAGTCGTGGATTTGGTTGACGTCATTTTTTTATTAGGGCCAAATTTTTTTTAACAAACTTTTGATCCGAAGATCAGTTTTAAAACCATTTGCTCTGATACCAAATTGTAACACCCTAATCCGTCCAGGTCTTCAGCCCTTTTCGGACTAAAGTATTAACTTGGTATTCATAAAATTTAAAACATTTCAAATACTTTTATTCATCATAAATATTATTTAATATATAACTGTAGCAAAATACGGAGTGTTTAACAATAGTGCGGAAGCAATTTAAATCATGTTTAATAACAACATAATTATTTATTCAAAGTCACAAATTCCACCACGATAATCTCCCCCCTTCCGCTGCCAGGAACAAGCCAATCATTCATTCTGCCTACCTGCGTGTAGCAAATAAAACATACTACACGCTAAGCGATGAAGCTGGGTAAGCATATCTAAAACATCGAACATCCACATAAATTGAATCTAAATTCACAATAAGCATTTGATATCATGCACACAATATATAATTTATTCAACACTTTTATTTCAGTATCTCAATATTCAACATTCATATTCCATATTCAACAATATCCTTAAACCATGTTTAGTCTAAGGCCAATTCTTTTAATGTTTACCAACTCTTAAACTAATTCTAGTTCAAGGTACTTCTAACCAACTCTTAAACTATTTCTAGTTTAAGGTACTTCTAACAAACTCTTAAGCTAGGTCATTAGTTTAAGGTACATGTTCCGATTGATTTACCAACTCTTAAACTAGCCTTCGCTCATGGTACAATTCCAGAAAACCGAACAGTAGAATACTAACTGTCAGGTTGGGTGGTATCCCCAAACGAGTTCCTCTAGTTTGGTTTATGGATCCCGTACGTACGTTTTTACCCGAGGCCACCGAATATACATATTTATACCCGCAAGGCCCAATCTAATTTGAGGTCTATCTTAGAGGTCTTCGAGATAGCCTTAACAATACACCGGTTCCATGTTCACCATTATATTCATTTTTAATCCTTGATAATTTTCCTAATCAGTAGGTTTATCATTCATAATCATCCATAGTAATGATTCATTGTAATGATCAATCAACATACGTTTAATAACAAATAGCGGTCTAGTCTCAAGTGTTAACACCCGAACTTACCGTCATGCATCACATAATGTTTTAATTTGTTAAAAACATCATTCTTATTATGAAAAATCATTATTATAATAATTATAATCAGTTAGTATCAAAAATAGGATTTTAGAACTCAAAAATCAGATTTTTCTGGAAAATAATCGGATCAAGCGGTACCGTTCCGGGGGTAGGGGAGTACCGTCGGTTGGCAGGTATCGCCAAGGGAGTTCAGAAGGCGACGGCAGTATCCTACCGTTCCGGCGGTAGGTTGGTACCGTTTGGACGGTACTTATCTACCGTACCAGCGGTAGGGGTCTACCGTGCACTGTTCATCGTCTTCCTCCTCGGGCCTGGTTTCGGAAATTTCATTTTTAGTTCACCAAACTTCAATTAAATGTATAGAAATGTTCCCCAATGTCCATAGATCATTTGAGTATCATTAGTTCGTAGTTTTAACAACAATTTCAACGTTTTTGATTCTTGGTTCTTTAAACATGTTAAACATAAAACTCAACCAAATGACCATTTATGAACGTAGAAACAATCTATACGAACATTCTAGTCATTAGATATATCAACGGGCTAACCTTGAAGTGTAAGGAAGGTTTTGACGATTTTCTGGCGAAACTTCCGGCGACTCTATCTCACTGCTCCGGCGACCTCACACCAAGATGACAGCACCACTGCGTTCTACACACTCAAAGCTAACTCTCAGAAGCAATTTGGGAAGAAATGGTGAAGAATTGAGTAGGAAGAGGTGGTCCTTATATAGCCTAAGTGAAGAGGAAGCAGACACGGTGATGACCTCCTTGCGACTGTTTCGGCGGTTGAGTGGAGTAGGCTGCTATCTTCTTCGATTCTAAACGTAAGTCCCTGATTGGGACTAAATTGGTCCCAGTCGGGGAACACTTTTTGGTCCAACTTCTCCAAATTGAAATCGGATTGAACCGTTGGAGTCAGACAGTCAAACTCTACACAGCGATATAATTTTCATCAATTATTGTCAAACTTTATAATTTACTTATTTTAGGTCCTTCTCAGTAATTAATTAATTATCAATTAATTAATTCTGATAGGCCTATTTTCGTGGCGTTACACATATTTTGTGAGTGTTTTTGAGCTTGTGAATATTGGTATATAAAATCATATCCTTACATCGGTGTCTACCTAAATTTTACGCTAGTTTAGTGTTTTGACTTCAATCTTGAGAACCGGATCTTAATGGATTCTTGTTGTACTTGAAACACTTAAACAACCGTTAAACTCTTGTATTGTTTGTTAACATCAAAACATGAGACTTAGCAAACCAAGGCTAACAATCTCCCCCTTTTTGATGTTGACAAACAATATACTTCAAAGTGAGTTTGGCGGGAGTAAAATAATGATGCAAGCAAGTTCCCCCTAAGAATAAGCATATTGAAAATACTCACTTTGAACTTTTCTTGTGTTTATTAAAAGTTTGATTTTGATGCAAATAGTTACACAAGAATGCACTCAAGTCAAGTTGCATATGCACCACTTTGAAGTATACATCTTCTCCCCCTTTTGTCAAAATCAAAACGGGCATTTACAACGAAACTCCCCCTAAAAATGAAAACTCCCCTAAAATGATGCAAGTTTAAAAACTTTATTTTTCAGGGATTTTTTAGTATTATTTTCTAAAATGCATGATATAAAGATGAATTTTTTTAAAAAATAAAAATTTAATCATGCAAACCAAGGCTAAAGCAAGTTAGAGCATATATGGAATAAGTTTTTGTTTTTGAAAAATAATAAAAACAAAAATTCTTATCCCAATAAGAAAAAAGAACTTACCTTGTTTTATGTCGTTCTTTCTTCGACTTTGAATATACTTCTTTTCTCTTAACATATTTCTTCCATTTGAGAAAATCCGTATACTTCATTCTCATTGCCTTCTCTTCATCTTCCTCGTCACTTGACTCTTCCGAGGAGCTTGAGTCATTTGACTCGCTTGATTCTTCACTTGACGAATCTTTAGAAGCTTTGAAGGCGTTTGTAAGCTTGGGATTTTCTCGCATTTCTTCCTCTTTGATCTTTCTCAATAGAAGTTCGTGAGAATACAAGACCAAATGTGGGCAGTTTCGGCCTTATCACATTTGGGTAATAAATCTACGATACTACTATGCCATTTTTTAGGTAAAGAAAATAGAATTTTCGTATTAAGC